GTCATTATTAAGTTCTACTTAGAGAATTAAAAAGTTTAAATCCTACATTTAAAAATGACTTATGTTTTAGTCTTATTTAGTGTAAATTTCACATTTGAATATACAATACTCCATATAAATGAAAAAAAGGATTTTTTTATCTATAATTAAAATAATTTTTAATAATTAAATCATATAAAAGAATATAAAAAATGATAGCACTAATTACTTGTCATTGCAAAAATTGTCATTCCACTTATGTAACACATATTGACTAGACCAATTTTTATTGGTTAGAAGATGATAGGTTAGTATGTGGCATTCCAATATTGACTCACCATTGACCATGGTCAATTAAAAGGTGTGGTGTCAACGTGGGATTGTGGGGCTTGCGGGTGGTGTGGCCTTTACCATAATTGTAATGAAAAAAAGGGGCGAAAAGGCAAAACCAAAAAAGGGGAAGAATGACTGCGCAAGTAAATGATGGCGAGAGGTGCGTGCTCCCACATGCCCAAAAAAACAGCTGAAATGGATTAACAGTGATAGGATCGGACAAAGGCATTTAATGACTCCGTACAATGGTATCCGCCCCGAGCTTCATCCGCCCCACTCGGTATTCCAAATTCCAATGGAGCGCTTTTCAAATTTTGAATCGGATCGGATCGCTCCGCTAGTCCGGTGTCATTGTTTAATTCTTTTTTCTTGTTTTATTTGAATATTATTCGTCCATTCCCTCGTTATAAAGTAAACTAAGTGAAATTGATTTACTCTAAAATATAGTTTTAAAATATTAAAGTTTTATAATATTTAATTATTTTAAATTATATTAATTTGTAATTGAATATCGTCACATTTTGACCATATAAGTCACACTGTGTTTATCATTTACGGTCGGATGAAGTATTAATCGTCTCAATGAATTTTTTTAATGTATTTTTATTGACTAATTAATTCAATAAAATATTATTATCAACTCTTGTTTGTAAAATTTTTGATGTATTGTATGAATAGTGCATGTAAATTATATTTTTATTTTAATATTAATTTCAAAATAAAATTAACTTTTAAAAAGATATTGTAAGATTTTATACATTGTTCAGAACACGCTAGTAGCTTTGGTACTGATAAAGAAATTGTGATGAATGATAATTTTTGAGAAAATAAATTTTAGTATTTTGAATAATTACCAATCGATTCTCAAATCTATAAATATAGCCATTTTGCTAGAATTTTTAATGATCTCTCATCTTAGGTCTTTCAAAAGGCACTTGAAATATGGTGGGATGCAATGTGGTGGGATGCATCTGGCGCAGCGGTGTGCGCCGGATGCTGTGATTGGGGAGGGGCGTGGGGTCGGGGCATAGAGACAACGACAGAGTCCATTGTAGACGGCCGGTGCGTTGGGGAACAAATTTCATTTTTTAATTTTTTCTTTCTATTCCTTTTTTAAAAAATAAACTCAATAAGTTCATCACATTTTCACCTTCAATTTATAATATCTCATCAATTACTCTAATCTCATTCTCAAATGATCCAAGTAGATATGCCAACTCCACTTGTTTTTACACCAATGTGCAACGGGCATATATGGGCCTGTGATAACTTTACCCCGTCCTCGGACTCCAAAGATAGCTCGTACAAACTATCAGGTGTTTAACGGACGACTACAAAATTTTTGAATTGACATCCATCACTCAAGCTATGAGGAAAGAGAAGGCAAAAAATAACGACACAACTCTGACAGAAAATTTGACATTGGCAAACTTCTAAGTTGACGCGTCATGCGACCCTAATATCATAAACTTCAAAAAACACAAAATGATCTATAGAGCGTGCATGTTGCGAAGTAAAACATTGCATAGATGCCCAATTGTGCGTTTGAACATGATGGGGAGATGCTTATGAAATACTATGGGCATGTGTACCCAAAAGTCTAAAAGTTCAATTCCATATAACATCCAAAAGACATGGCCCACTGGGCCCAACGTTCACGACATCCTCTCGAAGAAAATGGACTTTTATTTTTTTAGTAGAAAATAAAGTTTTCAACTTTTTGGATGCATAGTTTAAAAACCGGATCGGACCGGCCGATTCAGACCATGAAACAGTGGACCAGTGGTCTGATCGGTTCGACCCAATCCTCTAGACCGTAATGTGCATTGAGCTGGTCTTAACTGGTGTGAATCCGTTAGAACCGGATAATCAAGCCCGAAGATCCTTTTTTTTGAATTTGTTTTCAAAAATTGTACTCCGTATCAAAGATGGAGCTCGGACACACAATCTCAAAGAGATTTAATTAATTTGTAAACCATCTAAACTAGACTATTTTTTTGTTACACTTTAGCTTTTTTTTGTATTTGATAGTCAAAAATATAAAGATTCTAAAATCTTTTATTTTATTCTTTAAAAACTTTAAAAACTATCTCGTTATAGAAATGATGTAAATTCTAAATCATTCAGATACTTAATATTATTTAAAAATGCATCAATGGAAATATTTCATTTGAGTGTTTTTTAAATATTGAGTTAACTTATTTGAAAAACTAAAATAACCTATAATTTTCTAATTTTTTTATATTGTTTTAAAATATGTAAATTTTATTTTTTACTATAATTTTGGTCAAATCTTTCGAACCCGTGACCTTTTAGTCAACGAGGCTCTGATACCATGTCAAGGAACCCATTCAACCAAAAGCTCAAGCTTGTGGTTGTGGCCCAAGAACAGTTATTTATATTCTAACAGGAATGGAGGAAGAGACCAACTCTGCTGATGATAGTTTCCCTGTTTCGGCAGCTGAGTGGAGCGGGCTGTTGTCTTCTCCGATTCTAAATGTAAGTCCTTGATTAGGACTAAATTGGTCCTAGTTAGGGAATACTTTTTTGTCCAACTTCCTCCAAATTGAAATCAAATTAAACCGTTGGGATCAGATAGTTAAACTCTACAAAACGATATAATTTTCATTATTTATTGACAAACTTTATAAATCACATATTTTTAGGTCCTTCTCAGTAACTAATTAATTATTAATTAATTAATTCTAATAGGTCTATTCTCGGGGCATTACATCCGGCATGCCCTGCGGGTTTGCCTCTTGTGTTTACGGTTATTTCTGGTCAACTCTAATTCCAAGCGTTTTCTGATAGTTTCTCTTTCCCCTTCAATCTCCTTAGGAGTAAGGAGCTCCTAAAGGAATGTGTTGATCACCTCTCCCGCCATCTAGGGGATCAGCTTTGGCTGCTCCGATGCATCTTTGGGAACCTTCGAGGGTATGGGAAGGGCATGCTCCACTCTATTTATAACATTTACCATCATGTTAGCAACATTATTCAGGGCCGCTTCAATCCCATTGGACTGAGCAGTGTTGTGTAGTTCATGAACTCTCGTCGCAGCATAGGACTGGTGGGAGTTTGCGACATTACGCCTAGAGTTCCTTGTTCTTAGTCCGGCCATACTCTCACAATATCAATCTCAGAGTAATCTTTCAATGAAAGTACTAATGATGAGATTTAACCAATAACTATGATATGCGATGAACAAAAGAATGATAATGAATAGTATTGAAGGAAATAATAAATATTGTATATCTGATCTGTATTAACTATATTACGCTTGGTTTACAATGGATGGTTTACCCCTTATTTATAGTATACTTTTACTGTACACAGGAAATGTAATATTTCGTGCGCTATGCTATCAACAATTCGTCAATCTTGCATCAATCATGGCGGGGAATCAGTCATCAACTCCCATCATTTCCACAATTAGAGGAATCCCCTCTAATTTGGGTATTGGGTTAGACCCGACTTCCGGGTCCACCTATGGACTTCGCCTTTAAGTCTGCAATTGGACTTGTATAATTGTTGAGCCGTGGAATTGTAATTGAGTTGTCCTTGTCTGATTACTCGATCAGATATCCATCATCAGCTCAATAGTCAATAGTATTTGTTTTTCAATTTTTGTAGTTTTACTTTTAAGCATGTTAAATTTCTCCTTCTATTAATATAGTACGGAGTATTTCATAATTTTTTTATTTTAGTCGAATAGTGATGTGTCAAGAGTTGGGGCGGGACGAGAATTGCCCACATTGAAATGTCCTTATGTGTGTAATTAGAGTCTCTTTTTTTGGGTTTGAATTTTAAAATTGATGTTTGAATTATAAAATATTTAAAAGAGTTAGAAAATGTTTAAGAAATGGAATGTGTTGGAAAAGATACTTTTTCGTTCTTTACTCTTTGTGTAGTTTTGATTTTTCAGTAAAAAAATGGACAAACTTTGACCTCATATTAAATAAAAGTGATATTTAGTTTTGATACAAAAATAATTTTATTTTATAAAATATTTTCAAAGTATTATTTTATCTCATTAATATACAATACATATATTTTATATAACTACATGTCAAAGATTAAAGATGGTTGATGGTAAAAAAGTTAAACCCGACTAATACAGAGATACTGTATTACACTATTTATGTTTCGACATCTTCAAAATCTACAAATTTCACTTTCCCCCTAAATTCTTTTAGTATGTTTGTTAGCGCCTTTATTTCAGAGTATTTGTCCAGTTTTGACTTTTTTGAAATTAACTATTTTTAATAGTTGATCTATAATTTAATAAAATAAATAAGGTATATTAGTATTTTGAAAATAACGTATACGTAATATGAATCTAATAAAATTGTATTTGTATTAAAGTTTAATAAGAGTATCATTTTTATTTAATATGAGGTCAAAATTTTTTAATTTTGGCTGAAAAAAGATGAAAGTTGACAAATAATTAATGATAGAGGAAGTATTATTTATTTGTTTAAATTATTTGCAAGTGATCTCTTTTAAGCAATTGACCAAAAAATTTGTTTACGAATATTAGTGTGTGTAGTAAAATATTTTAATTACTTGATTGTTTTTATTAGATTTGTTTTGGGCAAATGAGAGGGGATACATGGGATGGAGGGAGCATTTGCCAAAAAGAGCTTAAGTTGAGGACCTGACAGCAAAATCTCTTAAGGGGAGGGTCCAATGCGAAAAGTTTATCGGGAGGAGGAGCCAATATATTCGTCGTCTTGCCCTCTCTTTCCCGTCCAGAGCTTCCCCTCGATCTCCATTTTCTCTCTAAAACCATTTCTCTCATTTTTTTTCTCTGAAACTATATTCTTTCTCACACACACTCTTCGTGAGAATGAAAAAGTGGTACACCTTCAGTGCTGTGAGAGAGATCGCCGAGATTTGGGCAAAAGACGCCGGCGGTAAAGGACAGAACTTCCGGCGGAAGTTGTGGGGAACGCTCTCAAAGGCCGGGTTGATCGCCGGAACGGCTGAGAGCATGGCCCAGATCGGCGGCGCGGTTGCTTCATCTACTAAGCACGGCTTCCGTAAGACGGTCGAGAGCATTCGTTCGCGATACGACGCACATCCCTCAACTGCCGAAATGTTGAAGAGAATCGATGAAAATGTGCTGGAGCTGCTGAAATACCACAAAATCATGGAAAGAAGTTCGCAAGAGGATGGGCGTCAGGGCGGCGGCGGCGGCGGGAGCCTTCCGATCAAAGGTGGCGGCAGCAGGGGAGGTGCTGAAGAGGAGAAGAAGAATGGAGAGAAGGGCACCGGGGGAGGGCCTGATGAGAAGAAGAAGAAGAATGGAGACAATGGGAAAAATGGCGGCGGTGGAGGAAACGGCGGCGGCGGCGCCAAGGAGCCCAGCAATGGTCACAATGGTGCGGAAAATGGGGGGTCTGATGTTCCCCCGCCGTTCCCCTTCGATATGGACCTCTACTGACTAGTCAAGGTGAGCCGTCCCATTTTTGTTTTGTTTTCACTGCCGTATTTCATTGATTAATTTATTTATTGTGTGGATTTTTGTTTTGCTTTCACTGCTGTATTTCATTGATTTATTTATTTATTGTGTGGATTTTTGTTTTGTTTTCACTGCTGTATTTCATTTATTTATTTATTTATTTATTGTATTTTTATTATTAATTCTGAATTTGTATGGATGCAGAGCCGCAGGAATAAATGCAGATGTCGATTGTGGGAATGAAGAAGAATAATTTTGGCTTTTTTGTTTCATTTCCTCGGATCTGTTTTTTTTTAAAGCTTTGGCTGATGTGTTGTTTGAATGAATGAATGAAAAGGAACTATGGCATGTCATTTCCTGCAATAACATTTAATTTCAATGTTGTTTTGTTGTTCTTTTGACATGGAACTGGTGTCCAGAATCATCTATGGATTGGTTATTCATATTGTTTCCAATGTGTGATTATATTTACCCGGCCCAATACTGATTGGTTGATTCATTTAATTCCCTCCCTCCCTCCCTCTTTTTGGTCCGACTTCCCGTCCATAAGGAATTATTTGATCCAGCATTTGCAGTTCGAGATCTGAATCACTCACGTCATTTTCCATTTCTTTCTTTCCTTTTTTTTTGGGTTAACTGCTTTGAGCCTTTGACATTACAAACTGATTATTAAAGAATTTTTATTTTTATTCAAATAATTTGTTTCAAACTTTCACTGACTATGTATGTGTCACATTCATAGTTTTAAAAACTAAACTGGGAACCGGCGAGTCGGATGCCAAACACGCCCTTCAGACCGCCATTAGCACCGAACTGCCAGTAATCGGATAAAACTCGCAAAACCCGACCGCCATGGTCACATGACACTTTCTATCCGACTCAATAGAACCGCCCGACCCAGATTTAATGGATAAAAAAGCATCTTTTGTTGCCCAAGTAGATTCACCGGGTCAAATGCAGGTTAAGATTTTTCCTACCCGTCGCTCAAATCATCGCCCTACTCATTCATATTTACTAAATACTCCGTACTACAGACTAAAGACCAAATTGCTCCTGTAGCCCTTGCGGATAATTTGTGTTTCAAATTAAAAATTAAAAATTTTCACTTTTTTTCTAACATTTAAAATATGGGAAGATCAAAAAAAGGAAATCTAGATTGAAAATTAAAAAAAATAGAAATACGAAAAACAAAATGAAAAATTTGAAATATGCAAAAAAAAACTCTTATACAAAATACTCGATCCGTCCCAATTTAAATTGCCTGTTTGCCTTTTTTTCTCCGTCCCAAAACAAGTTGGCTGTTAATTGTTTTCGTAAACTTTTAAAAATAAAATACCTAAACTACCCCTAAAATAAGTCACTCTTCTTCACTTTATCTTCTCATTCATCATCATCCCTTCTAAAAAGTAATGACAATTTCGGAAAATCAACTATATTTTTTATTTTCCTTAAATATGCCCAAAAATCAAAACTGGCAATTTAAATGGGGACGGATGGAGTATAATTTTTGAAACATTTGAAAAAAATCCTCACGATATGGATGTACAAGAAAAGATATTTGTTTTAATTTTTCTTTTATTTTATTTTCTATTATACTCCTTTGTTTCTGAAGTTCAAAAAAATACTTTTAATTTTGAAATTGCAATTTATGTTATTTATAATTGATTTCCAACAAAAATTATCAAACCTTGAGAACATGATAAATACAACTTTGTAATAAGTAAAAAGAAAAATTACCCGAAATAATTCCAACTTTACCCGGTCTTTCAAAAATAATCTCACCTTTCACTGTGATGCATAATAATCCCAACTTTATAAAAATTTACCAATTTTGAGTCGTCGTTAAGTTGCTAACGGAGGGTTAACGGAAATGCCCGTTTTAGGCAACAAAATGAAAGTTGAGATTATTTTTGATGAGTTTTCATTTTTTATTTTTTTTCTAAATTTTTCATTTAAATTGTTTGAATTACTTTCAACCTCCATTTCTTTTTCATTTTAAAAGATTATTCTTACCTTAGAAAAAAAGATATAAAAAATAATGAAAATGAGAAAAATAACTAAAACCATAAAAAATTAATCAAATAAATAATGTAATCAATAGAAATTAAACAGAAACTGGTAAGAAATAAAATAAATATATACGGAGTGGTGGGTTTTAACATTTTACACACTATGTTGAGTCTTAATGACTTAATGTACTACTTATTTTTTAAAAGAACAAGGCGTCCGGAAAAGTTAGAATTATTGTAGATAATTTTTTCTAAAAAATAAAAAGTGATATGTTAATACTTTGTATAATGCGTAAAATATTAAAACCCACCCGTATATTTTTATTTTACTTTTACCAATTTCAAGTTAGTTTCCATTGATAACCTTATTTTATTTTATTATTTTTGTATCATTTTAGTTACATTTCTCATTTTTTCATTTTTTATATCTATTATTTTTATTTTTTAAACTAAGACTAATCTTTAAAAAAGGAAAAAGAAATGATGATGGAGGTAGAAAGTAATTTAAAAAATTTAAATGAAAATTTTAAAAAAAAAATAAAAAATGAAAATTCATCAAAAGTAATCCCAACTTTCATTTTGTTGCCTAAAACGGGCATTTCCATTAACCTTCCGTTAGAAACTTAACGACGACCCAAAATTGGCAAATTTCAATCAAGTTGGGATTATTATGCATCACAGTGAAAGGTGTGATTATTTTTGAAAGACCGGGTAAAGTTGGGATTATTTTGGATAATTTTTCCTAAATAAAAACCCTTCATGGATGTGTCGCATGACTCAATCAATAGAACCACCCGGCCCAGATTTAATGGATAAAAAAATATCTTTTGTCGCCCAAGTAGATTCATTGGGTCAGTTGTAGATTAAGATTTTTCCTACCCGTCGCTCAAATTACCCACCCTACTCATTCATATGTACTTTAATAATAAAGAGTAAAGACCAAATTGCTCCCATACCCCTTGCGGATGGGACAATAATTTTCAATTCTCTTTCTATTTTCAAAACTTATTTCTAAAACTCTTATGATTTCAAGACTCTGCAACCCGCACGCCCCTCACCATAATTTTCGACAAAAAGGAGTATTTGTGTCTATTTTTCAAACCACAAGGGCAATAAAGCTTTTTTTGTTTCAGTTTTTCTCCTTTTCATAATTCTTTTTTTTCCATCTCTTTGTTTCCTTTTCTAAGATTTTTTAATTTCTATTCAAATTCTTTTGTAACGTTTTAAAAAATTAAAGATTTTGTGTTTCATTTTAAAAATGACACATAGTCCATCTATCTTAAATTAAACATTTTCATTTTTTTGTTTTCTTAAATTAAAAAATGGGAAGTTCAAAAAAAGAAAATCTACATTGAAAATTTAAAAATAAAAATTTTAAAAAATGGAAAATACAAAAAGAACTCATGTACAAAATATAATTTTTGGAACATTTGATATAGTCCTTACGATATGGATGTATAAGAAATACTCCGTAATATACATTTTGATTTTTTCTTTTATTTTATTTTCTATTATATTCCATTGTTTATGAAATCCCAAAACAATCACTTTTAATTTTGAAATTGATGGCTATAAACCACCGAAAACAATCTAATTGTATAAAGTTTAGAGAGAGAAATACAAAGTTGGAATATATTCAATTAGAATTGAGATCCTTTACAATGAGGGGTCTTTCTCCTTTTATAGGGTATACAATACAATTAGTAATACACTCAATCTGATCGATGCTCATTGCTTAGTGGACGTTACCTAACCCTAATGGTCTTGCCCCTTTCATCCCATCGCTATTGCGTGGTCCATATCGCAGAGCCGATCGCTATTCTCCGTTCACGGTCACGCGGTTCGAGCCGAGCTTGGAGGCCGAGCTTAAGAGTTGAGCTCGTGGCTCTTCTTGTGGATGCAGGGCCCAGCCGATGTCAGCCCTAGGTTGACGTGGGGGTATCCTCCATCAAAAGCCTCCCACTCTCTAGGTTCCATGCATGGCAACAGGCAATGGGAGGCAATGGGACGTGGAGAGTAGAGACATTATGGACAGGCGACGCGTGGGTCCACGTGTGATAGCGTCAGACATGTGGAAACATTTGGGATCCCCAAGTGAGGGGTTGTGACGTTGGTTCGCTTCTTTTGCCTCACCGGCCTGCACTACGGGTTGACCGCCAACCGATGACATATAATCTTGGGATCCATTCCCGGCATACCCCCGGGTCCCCATGCGAAGATCGCGTGGAAGGTGGTGAGAACGCCCCCAGGTGCCTCTGTAGATTTGCAGTCAGGCTCGCTCTGAACTTCACCTTCCGCTCGGGTATTCAAGGATCGAGAGGCACCTCTTCGACTGTCAAAGTAATCTTGTTTGTTGCACACGCACGGGAAGAGGGAGTGTTTAATTTCAAATTAAAAAATTCTAAAATCTATGGTTGATTTTCTTTTATGGGTTTTTTATGTTATATTAAATCTCTTATGAATGAAAATTGATTCTTACTAGTTTCATCAATTTTTGCGCAAATTGAAGTTAAAGTGGTTGAATTATAAATTTGAATTCATAAGTATGTTGGTATGTCGAATTCAGTTATCATTGAAGCTAATTTAATTAACTCCATATTTTAGTTAAATGATTCTCGAATTCATACGTGAATCTTTTTTGTGACTTGTGTTTTGTAAAATTTTAAGGTAAATGAACTTTTTAGCCCCATAAGTTCTACATTTTCCGTAAGATTCGTTGTAAAGTGATTGTTTATGTCTTGGTGTTCTTGTTTGTTATTTTCATAAAAATTGGAATTGTTTAAGCGCAATAAAACAACTCTTGATTTAATGAAAATATGTAATGTTTTCTTATGTGAATACACTAAAATTCTTATGCTTGAGTTATTCAAGGAAACTTGCAAAATATTTTCATCATTAGACATTAAAGTTTATTAAAGTGTATAAATATTCTTCGTGGATAGTTTATGCATGGGAGTTAGAATAAAAGAAGGATTCGCTCTTTTATAAACTTTTTCATCTTTTGAAATCATTATTTGAACCCTCGAGGTGAGTGGGGGGTTGAAAGTGATCCAAAAGCCCTTTGAATTCTTGACTTTGGGCCTTATTGAGAGTTGACAATCCTCTATATGTGGTCAAAATATGAATCAACTCGAGTCTTTGAATGTTTTTCTATTTAAGTGCGTAAGTTACGTAATATATTGCCTAAGTGCCTATTATACGTGTAATGTTCGTTTTGTGTTCGTTCTCTTTTTAATTTTGTTTTTGGTTTTTGGCGGTGTTTCTTAGGTTACCTTAGTTGGAGAAGTTGTTTATCTTTTGAGCTTCTTTCCCCCCATTTTATCAAAAAACCAAAAAATAAAAAAATATAAAAAATCAAAAAATATTTACTTTTTGTTCAAACCTCCCTCAGCTCCTTTGTGTTTTAAGTTATAATTTAAGTTTTATTCACTAAGTTTATTTAATAAGTGTGTTTTATAAGTTATAGATAAAATTTTTTATACCTTTATATACTTAAGTATGTGTTTTATGTTTTTAAGTTATATTAAAAGTTCTTTGTTTATATAAGTTATATTTATAAGTTTTTATATTTATTTAGTTATAAGTTTTATTATAAATTTATAAGTTCTTATCATACGTGTAGTAGTTAGTTTGTTTTATTTAGTGACAACGTGTTTGCATACTAAATTGGTTTTAAAAAGTACAATATTTCTAGGTGGGATCGACCCTTACTTGCCCTAGCTATAGTTTTTATTTGATTATGTATTGGGGGTTAGCTAAGGATATTTTTATAAATTTTTAATTTGTTTTGGACTCTACGACAAGTCTTCAACAGTACGTCTCGGAGTTCCTTCTCCCACCGAACTATGAAATCTCGAATCTTCTCTCCCTTGTGGATACATATGCTGAGGAGGTGGGAGTAGGTAACATTTGCCTTCTGTTAGCTGAAAAGTGCGTTAGAAACTTTTCTATCCGCATGTCCCAATCATCAATGGTCCCCTTCGGGAGTCGGTTGAACCAATCACATGCAGAGTCCTCCAGCGTCGCAAGGAAATATCGACACTTAACCTCGTCTGGGGCTGTCGTCGCCTTCATCGAGGCGTAGAACTTAGACAAATGATCCTGAGGATCCGTCGTTCCGCTGTAGGCCTTGATCTCCCACAGCCAAAAGTTTACCGGTAATGAGATTGACATAACCCTTGGAGTGAACAGGGGCACCGTCCTCAAGAGGGGTTTTTTCTGTAGGGCGCCCTTGTCTCTACTCGGCACTTGAGCTCCGCGATTTCGTGTGCAAGGCAGGACATAACCTAATCCAAGACCTTTGTCTTCTCGGTCCTCATGGGGCTCTGGAGACACTGAGTCTGCTCGTCCCGTCGGCCATCGGAGCACTCAGGCCTCGCCAAGAGTGCGTTCAAGGTCGCTAACTCCTCGGCGTGCCTCCGCCTGCCATCGGAAATCTGTCGGTGGAGGTCACATTGGCAGCCTTCTTGTCCCTAGTAGAGCGTTTCCAAAGCCGACACGCGAGTCTCTTCGCCCTCAAGCGCTTGAAGGCTGATACTCGGCACTCGCTGGACTCATCGTCCTCCCCTTTTAAATTGTCCTCCACCAACACCTCCTCGATCATCGAAGCCTTACCAGGCCTTCTCCTGCTCCTTCAGGCTTTCATCCCATTGCTATCGCCCCGTCCCTATTGCAGAGCCGGTCGCTATCCTCCGATCTCTATCACGCTGTCCAAGCTTGCGTAACAAACAATAGTAAGTTTCAACTAATAATATATGGAGTGCAGAGAAAATAACACATGTGTGACACAAGATTAAACCAGAATAAAAAATGAAATACAACAAAATGAAATGGGAAGATCTATTGTAGACAAAGAAAAAAGGCTATTGAGAAGATCTATGGGGGACGGAGGGAGTAATACATTTTAAAACATTAAAAATATATGCATAAAAATACATGGAATATATGAATTTAGAGTTTTTAAAAATTATTGGAAGTCGGGTACATGTCGGGTCAGTTCGATTACAAGTTGGGTCGGTCAAATATACTAATCCAAACCTAACCCGACATAAGTCAGGTTCGGTCTAAATTCTTTCGGTTTGGTTTCACATATTTATTTTTTGATTCTGATTCAGATATTTTAAGAGCATTGGCAGTGGCAAGCCTTGCCACTCCATGCCACATCAGACTTTTTAAGGGATTAGCGAGGCGAGCCAAGCCGTGTCACCCATCTTTGTGAGGCATCACCGAGGCAAGGACTATACCCAAAGTTTAACAATTTTAACTGAAAAAAGTCAAAAGTGGACAAATAATCAGGGACGGAAGAAGTATATTTTTTAGTGTTTTTTGAAAAGAAATCTGTTTAGAAATTTTTTTACTCATAAAATATATTATATTTTACCCAGGTATGCAAGTTATGACACAAGAATCCTTTAGCTAGGGTTGTCGCAAGGTGAACATGGAGATCAAAAGGTCTTGTGTTCAATTCCCTACAGGCTAAGATTTTGGACGATTTTTCGCAAAAAAAAAAATAAAAAAGGAAACTGGTTTCCGGTCCGACCGGGCGGTTTCTACCAGTTTTCACCGGTTTGCGCCGGTTCGTTACTGAGGCGGTCTTGTGCCCCGGACCGGACCGGTTTGGGCGACGGTTCACCGGTTTCCGGTCTGAACCACCGGCCGGTTTTTAAAACTATGACTGTACCCCTTTTTTGTTCAACTGTTTTCTTCAATTTACTCTTTTCTTTCTTTTTTCTGCTCTTTCTCTCTCTTTGTGTAGATTTGTACTCTAGTATATAAATTGGCAACTCAAAACAAAACTAGTTATAAACTGGGTTGCTACAATTTTGTAAAGCCAATTTTTGGAGAATAAAGTATACTTTTTTATTGACGAATTGAGTTCTATTTTTTCAAAAATCTAAAATCAACTTGATTTAAAATTTCATATCCTCAAAAGAAAGAAATTAAACAAGCTTATTACGAATGTAGTAGTAATATTCTTTAATGATAAAATATATGACAAAATACGGAGTATTTTTTATTAATCACAATACATCATTTTTTTTGAAAAAAAGATAAAAAGAATGACTTGCCATTGTAGGGGTTGCTACTCCACACACATGCCACTCAATGACTAGACTGTTTCTTATTGGTTGAAATACGCCACGTCAGCGTGTGTCATTTCATTTCTCTACTTGCCATTGTTCATGATCTAAGCTCTAGTCTAATTGGTAAATGTTACTCCCTCCGTCCGGAAATATTCTTTCCATTTGAATTTTCTTGGTCAAAGTTTATAAACTTTGACTATGATTTGTGGAAAAAATACATTGTATTGCGATATAACTTTAATATGAATATATTCATTTTGAAATATAGTTTTCAAATATCAAATTTTTATAAAATATATCCATGTATAAATAAAGATGTTAGTGGTCAAAGTGTAATCTTGGAGAACGTAAAAAGTCAAATGAGAAAATATTTTGGGACGGAGGGAGTATTAGGATAGCATTCTCATCCCACCATGTACCATAAATACGCAGTACTAGAGAATGAATAGAAAATCTTCCATCCGGCAAACTTGAACGGGTCATTTGTTTAGCAAACATGGGTCGCAGGGGCTTCTCCGGCGGTGGCAGAGGAGGAGGAGGAGGAGGTAAGGAATCGATAGAAAAGTTTTCAGGAAAACAAATGATTTTCATTCCAGCCCATCCCAGATTTACAACCCTAATTGATTTTACTGTGCTAGAGTTTTCATAGCCATCGCCATTCGATTTTATACTCTTATTTTGTGTTATTCAATCCTCTTACTTTTCTCTTTAAAACGCAGGACGTCCTGCCTGCCGTTCAAAGGCATCTCGCGACGCAGAAGGTAAGCCAAAATTTCTTTTTTTTTTTTTGCTGTTTATCTGAATTACGGAGTACTTGCTTTCTTCTTTGAAACTTATGTTAATTATTATACTCTGCATTATTATCTCCGTATTATTTTATAGGAAGATGTGAACTTACAACAATGAAATTCAGTCAAAGGGGGCATGAAAGATGTTTGAATCTAGTGTTAAGAGGCTCTTAAGCCGAAATTCATACGGCTTACTCACATAGTGGAAACAAGTTAATTCCTTGCTAAAAGCAGTGGAAATCAATTTCAGGGGTTAACGAATTAGTGGTTATAAAAGCTTACATCACGGATCTAATCTCTGATTTAATAAGTACTCGTAAAATTTATGAAATGCAACTCTTTCAAGCATCTAAAAATTTATAATTAAAAGTTATCCACGTATCATTTAAATTTGTGAACAGCCATATACGTAGCATGCCTCTTACCGTGATTTTCATAATCACAGCATCCAAATTTGTGAATATCCAAATAAAAACTTCAAAACCAGAGTTCACCTTAACATTTTAAAATAGTACTTTAACTGTGAATGTGACCGATAATTAATCAAAAGCAGTAGTCTGTAGATGGATCTTGTGCTGAATAGTACACACAAATTAGTAAATACAGATTGAAATCTGCACAGAGTAGAATAGTGGTTTCTGTGCAGACTATTAGCTTGAATAGAAGAACTCTTGAAATGGATGGAAGAACACAAAGGAAGAAACAGACAGAACTTGTTTCTCTTCTTGGTTCATGTATTGGGATGAAAGTCTTTGTTTAATCGTTTTTGAGTACCTCTGTCCCATTGTTTTTGGGGCATGAGCATCTGACGCACAGTTTAACAAAGAAAAAGTAAGAATGAGTATGAGTCACATAAATGTTTCTAAATATGGCGAGGAACAAAGATTGTGAGACGAAAAATGAATATAGTTGGATGAAGGGAGTAGTATTTTCTTTCTTTCTTAGGCTCCTTCATTATGTGTTCTTTCATTCCCTGAATAGGTAAAATTTAAAACAACGAGCTGCTGCTAGCAATGGATTCAGGTCTGCTTTGGATCGTATTTGGTATGGGCCTGACAATAGTCATGAAGACTTATGCAAATCACTTTTGAGAAGCTTTGAAATGGTAAATAGTTCTTTAACCAGAGTAACATTTTTTTGGGTATTTTACCTACAACGTGGATTACTTGACTTTTTTGGTATTTTAACTCCACAGAAAAGCTGGAAATGTTTACTGTTTTGCTTACATTTATAATAATAGATACGCCCTTTGGCTTATTACATATTCCCTCCGTTTATTGACTGACCCCTTTACACTTTATGATGTTTGACTGACTCCTCTACAAGAGGTGGCTTGGCTATGTTATTATGTTACAAATGGTTGATAAAAAATTGAAAATATTTGAGGAAGCTAAGGAAATATGGTTTTGACTGATCTGCTAAAAATGAACAGGACCAGACTGGTAAAACAAAATGGAGTATGTGATTTCAAAGAAACTTTGGGTATATGTACTACCTCTATGTTTTAGGGAGTAATTGCTTTTCTGAAAAACTAGACAGTTCAGTAAAAAACATGTTTACAACAATAAAAACATTATCCTAGTGCCTTAGCGGTTGTTTCCCGGTGACCCATAATGAACGTTGCAAGTTGCATTGACTAATTGTTATATCAATGAGCCATTTTGCTTTCTTTCATCATAACCGAAATGTAGGGGTACCCTTCCACCGGACATGCATTAAGCCACACTAATCAAATTCTTCCCCAAACCCCCGAAGGACACTCTCCGTCTCCGGGTGCGGAGTTGAAAGGCAAGATCGTTAAGTCCCCTTTGGCCACCCACGGAAGAGGGAGTGAGTACCAAGGCACCTAAGGAGATCCCATGAATCCCCTCGACCCCTCATTCCCAAGTTTTTTGAAAGGTCAGTCATTGCCACATCACTCCCAATCACACTGTCCTCTCTCCCTACACCTTTTGGCCATAGCAATCATTCCGAGCTCACGAACAAGGCCCCTTGCCGAATCTCCTTCATTCCTCCGACATTCCAGGCCATCTTCCATCCGTGGAGCACCCCCATGGAGGCACCAACCAACACTGTCCAACTGCCCTAGGACCACGGTTCAGACTTTCCTGAAACTTCGGACCTTTCACCTTCGCCCTAGGCGATTGGAAGGTACTCTAGCGCCCAGCCTCGCCTAGCCGCCGTAACAACTATGTTCACCTTCGCCCTCGTGAACTTCCACCCCAACTGGCATGAGCCCAACTTCATCCTCAATCTTGATCTCACCATAGCAGGATTCCAATTTTTCAATAGCTACACCAGAGGCTCTTGAACCCATTATAGTTAAGAGACTGGCCTGAAATTCCCACCATTCACGGTCACCGACCGAAACCAAATTCAGAAGAGCTGGAACAGGTAAAGAAACCTCAAACGGTATTAGGGAGAGAATTGCATAGAAATTTATGTATATTTTGTTTGCAGTAATGCTGTAACGCCTTAGTACTATCATCAGATGGTACTAAAAAGTCTAACTTTGAGTAATTTGCATTAATTGAGTTTGATGGACACTGTTCATCTGGTGAATTTCGATTATTAAGCAAATTGTCCCTTGTAGATTGGTTCTTTTAATTTAATTTGACCTATTTTCTTCGGTTACTGGCTTACTGCTCCTTGTGAAGAAGCAAAGTGAAATGTGCCATAGCTTTTATGCTAAGGATCTCATTTTTTGGGGTATAATTGCAGTGTGTAGCTATTGAAGAAGTAGACAGAGATAGTAGATGGTGCCAGGACGAGAAGAGAGCGCTGGAAGAGCATTGTGTATGGGATTTAAATTTTTTGTGTTTCAATTCACTCCATTTTCTATTTTTGCTTGATTTGATATACATATGGTAAGTAAGGTTGCTACTTGCTAGGAGTGGTTGCTCTTGTATTTGAAAATGCATGCAATTAAAAGTCATTAAATAAGTTGTTTTGTTGATGAGATGCATTCTTTCGTACGTCCCCCCTTTTGTTGCTACCATTTTGTCAATGGAAGGGTATACTTTTTTTTTGCTTCCAGTGTTAATTTTGGTTGTGCATTTTTTTTTGACAGATGAGTTTAGGTCTTCTTGGAATGATTGGTGGGCAAAAGAGAAGAAAAGACAGTGTGATATAATGTTATTAGGTTTTGGATGGGTAAGGTTATTCTCACTTAATTTAGATAAACTTGATTAATTATACTTGGCACAGTAGATGATTTACTTAAGAAAGCTGGAAACCCAACCCAGACAATTTTTCTTAAGCAAACTTTCTTTTGTAAAAATTTGTAGTGTTTGGATAGGCACGGCAAGGAGTCAAAGCAATGCCAATTTGAAGCTGAGGAGCTTAAAAAGTTCTGTGATATAGAAGTTAAATGACAAGCTGTTTTCAACATACTTTATTGATGATGAACCTAATTAGTTACGGAGTACTACCTATATAAGACTCTCTCCGTCCAATTCACATGATGTTGTTAAAGAGGTTGGATTGAAATTATTTTCAATTTAATTTATTTGCAAAATGGAAGAGATATATTTTAAAATTATATCAAAAGTTCTACAAAACAATAGATGATAAGAATCTACTCCGTATTATTTTCTCATATATGTAGCGAAAAGTTCTACAAAACAATAGATGATAAGAATCTACTCCGTATTATTTTCTCATATATGTAGCGAAAATGGGTAAAGAGCGTGTTTAAAGTTTGTTCATACGAATAGCAAACAGATAATTTAAATTGGGACGTTGCGATCGTAAGGGAAGTGGTTTATGTGACTACGGGGTATGATTTTTTAAAATGGTCATAGATCATTACTTGTCATTTCTCTTCTATTCTTCCACATGCCATCACTTTTCAATGCCACTTCCCTTTCTCTATTCTAGTCGTTCTCCTCATGTTAATTATATAATAGGCCTCATAATTTTTTCTCATTTTTTGTATTAACTTTTTTATTCTTCTATTTTTCAACTTTATGTTATTCAATTTCATCCTAAATTATTTTAATTTATTTTAGATTTAAACATTTTTTCTAATTTTTTTATATTTTTAATAAATGACTATATAAATAAATTTTTTAATACATAGTATAATCTAGTATAATCTAATTTTTAGTAAAATTGGAAATTTACCTCTTCGATCATCGAAGTCTTACCGGGCCTTCTCCTGCTCCTCTAGGTCTTCTTCTCCTTATGCTTCTCCTTATTTCAGCATGTTTGGTATTGGGTCCTTGAAGGGTTTGGGTGGCTCCGGTGCCGGGTCCACTTCCGCCGATGGCGGAGAGGGCAGCTACGGCGACCTGGAGCTGCTTTGCGGTCGTCCCCATACCGATTAGCGCCTAGACCGCGTTAGGAGCCGAGATAATCCCTCGAGTTCCATTACCGTTTCCTGGTCCATTCTCTTCTCCGGCGACGTGGCTGGTGGTGGGGATGTTTCTCTTTGTTTGCATCATTCTCGTTCTCGAGAGTTAACCTACGAGTATGTTTTTCTCCTCTCAACGTGAGCACCAGTTTGATGACTATAAACCACCGAAGAAAATCTAATTGTATAAAGTTTACGGGGAGAGAGAGTGCAAAGGAGGAGTATATACACTCAAAATTCGGATCCTTTACAATGAGGGATCTCTCCCTTTTTATAGGGTACACAATACAATCACAAAATTGCTGACAGGTACCCCCAGTTTTGTGGTAAGAACTACCGGGTACTCCTAATTTTGAAAATGTACTCCCAGATACCTTAAATTATAAAAAAACTTACCAGGGGATTTTCCATCCATCCTCCATCCATTCCAATTTTTCGGTCAAGTTTATCTCCATCATCATCCATCATCATCCAACTCCATCTTCTTCCGTCTTCCTCCTCTTCTTTTTTTTCCTTTTTCTTTTTCTTTTTCTTTTTCTTTCTTTTCTCCTCATCCTCCTCCTCCTTTCTTCCAAACCCCCCAACCCCTCATCCTTATTTCTTCTTCTTCTCTTTCTATTGTTATTGTTATTATTATTATTATTATTATTATTATTATTATTATTATTATTATTATTATTATTATTATTATTATTATTAGTATTACTATTATTATTAATAATAATAGTGAAACTATTATTAAGTTTTTAATATTAATAAAAGAAGAATAAGAAAATATTACTTCCTCCGTCCCACTATATTTGTCCACTTTCATTTTTGCACACCATCCAATATATTTCTTTAATCCATTTTATCTTGTAATTTGCATATTAAAAAATTATAAAAATTATATATTAATATTATATATGTTAAGACAAATCAAACAAGATTACGCATGACTATATTTAGGTTTACACATTGAGAGAATTTGATGAGTCAAAGTGCTTAGATGAGCAGTTCCAAAAGTAAAAAATTGACTAATATAGCAGGACGAAGGTAGTACTTCATAATAATAATAAATAATAGAGGTAGAAGAAAATTATACTTTGTAATAAATAAATAATACACCATCTGTTCCATAAAACTTTTCCTCTTTCGTTTTTTTCTAATTTACTAAAACATTCCTACTTTCTACTCCCTCCGTCCCCAATTTGATTACAAATTGCGGGTTACGGAGTAAAATTTCCTACTTTTTGAAATCATTTTATTTACAAATTGGTATATCAATAAGCTATAAAAATTACATATTAAAAGACTACGTCAAAAGTTCTATAAAACAAGAGGTGACAAGAATATTTTATTTTATCAAATACTTGATGAATTCACGTAAACAAACAAAAGTTATCGAGAGGAGAGAGAAAAAATGATTGTAATCTATTTAGGGACGGAGGGAGTATTAAAAACTACTTTTACCTTACTTTTTCATACCCTACCTATCACATCATACTTTTTTTTACTAATAACCAAACCATCACATCTTACTTTTACCTATCACATCAGGGCAAAATTGAAAAGTCAATCAAAATTATACTTACCTTATAATAATAATAATAATAATAATAATAATAATAATAATAATAATAATAATAACAACAATAACAATAGAAAGAGAAGAAGAAGAAATAAGGATGAGGGGTTGGGGGGTTTGGAAGAAAGGAGGAGGAGGATGAGGAGAAAAGAAAGAAAAAGAAAAAGAAAAAGAAAAAGGAAAAAAAAGAAGAGGAGGAAGACGGAAGAAGATGGAGTTGGATGATGATGGATGATGATGATGATAAACTTGACGGAAAAATTGTAATGGATGGAAAATCCCCTCCGGGTAAGTTTTTTTTATAATTCAGGGTATCTGGGAGTATATTTTTAAAATTGGGGGTACCCGGTAGTTCTTACCACAAAACTGGGGGTACCTGTCAGCAATTTTTTGCAATACAATTAGGCAAACACTCTGAATCTCTAATCGATGCTCGTTGCTTAGTGGGCGTCACTTCACCCTCATGGTCTTGTCCCTTTCATCCCATCGTTATCGCCCCGTCCCTATTGCAGAGCCGATCGCTATCCTCCGGTCCTGTCACGTTGTCCGAGCTTGCGTAACAAACTATAGTAAGCTTCAACTACTAATATATGGAGTGGAGAGAAAATAACACATGTGTGACACAAGATTAAACCACAATAAAAAATGAAATACAAAAAAAATGTGTAATACATTTTAAAACATTAAAAATATATGCATAAAAAATACATGGAATATAGGAATTTAGAGTTTTTAAAAACTTATTGAAAGTTGGGTACATGTCGGGTCAGTTCGAGTACAGATTGAGTCGGTCAAATATACTAACCCAAACCCAACCCGACATAAGTCAGGTTCGGTTTAAATTCTTTCGGGTTGGTTTCATATATTTATTTTTTGATTCTGATTCACATACTTTAAGCTCTATAGTCTAATCTGTAAATGTTATTCGGATAGAATTCTCATCCAACCATGTACCATAAATACGCAGCACTAGAGAATGAATAGAAAATTAGACCTGGCAAAAAATGACCCGACCTGTTTTTGACCCGAAACCCGACCCGAAAACACTAGGTTTTGAACAAAGGTTTTGATGACCGAACCTGAAGCTGACCGAACCCGAAATGACCCGCTAAAAATGGGTCAAACCCGACCGAACCCGAACCCGACCTGACCGACCTGCTAAAGTAATAGTTTTTCAAAATCGTACACTTTAATACTCGTTTTTAATATATAAATTTATATTTTCAGACAAAATTTTAATATCTTACTTTTTTTCTAAAACTTAAGCATTTTTTAAATTCCTTATATTTATTTATATGTCTAAAACAATTTCCAGGATTTAAAATGGAATAATCTAATAGATTTAATACATATTTTTTGATATTTTATATTTATTTAATAGAAAATGTAAGAATTAATGTGAATTTAAAAATTTATAAAACCAAAGTCATAACCCGTTGGGTCGACCCGAACCCGATGACACTGGGTCATGAACATTCAGTTCTCAACCCGAACCCGAATTGACCCGAACCCGAAATAACCCGAATTCGAAGTGACCGAACCCGAACCCGAACCCGAACCCGACCTGACCTACAGATTTGCCCCCTCTATAGAAAATCCATCCGGCAAACTTGAACGGGTCATTTGTTTAGCAAACATGGGTCGCAGGGGCTTCTCCGGCAGTGGCAGAGGAGGAGGAGGAGGAGGTAAGGAATCGAGAGAAAAGTTTTCAGGAAAACAAATGATTTTCATTCCAATCCATCCCAGATTTACAACCCTAATTGATTTTACTATGCTAGAGTTTTCATAGCCATTGTCCATTCGATTTTATACTCTTATTTTGTGTTATTCAATCCTCTTACTTTTCTCTTTCAAACGCAGGACGTCCTGCCTGCCGTTCAAAGGCATCTCGCGACGCAGAAGGTAAGCCAAAATTTCTTTTTTTTTTTTTTGCTGTTTATCTGAAATACAGAGTACTTGCTTCCTCCTTTGAAATTTATGTTAATTATTATACTCTGCATTATTATCTCCGTATTATTTTATTATTATACTGCTCTTTTAGGAAGATGTGAACTTACAACAATGAAATACAGTCAAAGGGGGCATGAAAGATGTTTGAATCTAGTGTTAAGAGGCTCTTAAGACGAAATTCATACTGCTTACTCATATAGTGGAAACAAGTTAATTCCTTGCTAAAAGCAGTGGAAATCAATTTCAGGGGGTTAACGAATTAGTGTTTATAAAAGCTTACATCACGGATCTAATCTCTGGTTTAATAAGTAAAATTTATTGAAATGCAACTCTAACAAGCATCTAAAAATTTATAATTAAAAGTTATGCACATATCATTTAAATTTGTGAACAGCCATATACGTAGCATGCCTCTTACCGTGATTTTCATAATCATTGCATCCAAATTGTGAACATCCAAATAAAAACTTCAAAACCAGAGTTCACCTTAACATTTTAAAACAGTACTTTAACTGTGAATGTGACCGATAATTAATCAAAAGCAGTAGTCTGTAGATGGATCTTGTGCTGAATAGTACACACAAATTAGTAAATACAGATTGAAATCTGCACAGAGTAGAATAGTGGTTTCTGTGCAGACTATTAGCTTGAATAGAAGAACTCTTGAAATGGATGGAAGAACACAAAGGAAGAAACAGACAGAACTTGTTTCTCTTCTTGGTTCATGTATTGGGATGAAAGTCTTTGTTTAATCGTTTTTGAGTACCTCTGTCCCATTTTTTTTGGGGCATGAGCATCTGACCCTCAGTTTGACAAAGAAAAAGTAAGAATGTGTATGAGTCACATAAATGTTTCTAAATATGGCGAGGAACAAAGATCGTGAGACGAAAAATGAATATAGTTGGATGAAGGGAGTAGTATTTTCTTTCTTTCTTAGCCTCCTTCATTATGTGTTCTTCATTCCCTGAATAGGTAATATTTTAATACAACGAGCTGCTGCTAGCTATGGATTCAGGTCTGCTTTGGATCGTATTTGGTATGGGCCTGACAATAGTCATGAAGACTTATGCAAATCACTTTTGAAGAACTTTGAAATGGTAAATAGTTCTTTAACCAGAGTAACATTTTTTTTTGGTATTTTACCTACAACGTGGATTACTTGACTTTTTTGGTATTTTAACTCCACAGAAAAGTTGGACATGTTTACTGTTTTGCTTACATTAATAATAATAGATACGCCCTTTGGCTTATTATATATTCCCTCCGTTTATTGACTGACCCCTTTACACTTTATGATGTTTGACTGACCCCTCTACAAGAGGTGGCTTGGCTATGTTATTATGTTACAAATGGTTGATAAAAAATTGAAAATATTTGAGGAAGCTAAGGAAATAAGGTTTTGACTGATCTGCTAAAAATGAACAGGAACAGACTGGTAAAACAAAATGGAGTATGTGATTTCAAAGAAACTTTGGGTATATGTACTACCTCTATGTTTTAGGGAGTAATTGTTTTTCTGAAAAACTAGACAGTTCAGTAAAAAACATGTTTACAACAATAAAAACATTATCCTAGTGCCTTAGCGGTTGTTTCCCGGTGACCCATAATGAACGTTGCAAGTTGCATTGACTAATTGTTATTTCACTATTAAAAGAAGCACAAATAGTTCAATGAGCCATTTTGCTTTCTTTCTTCATAACCCAAATGTAGGGGTACCCTTCCACCGGACATGCATTAAGCCACACTAATCAAATTCTTCCCCAAACCCCCGAAGGACACTCTCCGGATGCGGAGTTGACCCCTGCTTCTCTAGCTGAAAGGCAAGATCGTTAAGTCCCCTTTGGCCACCCAGGGAAGAGGGCGTGAGTACCAAGGCACCTAAGGAGATCCCATGAATCCCCTCGTTCTCTCATCTGCTACGCTCTTGAAAGCCATAGAAGCAAGTCATTCCCTATGGCCGATGACCCGGAATACTAACTACAACGCCGAAATGATTCTTTGAGAAACTCAAAAGGCTAGCCGTGTTGTTTCTCTTCCAGAAGAAAGCTAGGCCCTTATGCAAATTTAAAACAACCCCTCATAGTTGATCTTTACCCTCAACCGTGCTGCATGTCCTCTGCCCACTTCAGTTTCCATTAAAGAAAACTAAAAAATAAAATCTGGCTACTTACTAGACACAATTTCAACAACTTCACAAACTGTGCGTGGATTGCCTAGGCCACAACAGTTCCAGCTTAAAGTACTCATTGGGACAGGCAGGTCTGGGAACCAAGTTTTTTGAAAGGTCAGTCGTTGCCACATGCCCATATCATTACCAATCGCAGTGTCCTCACTCTCCCTACGCCTTTTAGCCATAGCAATCATTCCGAGCTCACAAACAATGCCCCTTGCCGAATCTCCTTCATTCCTCCGACATTCGTGGAGCACCCCCATGGAGGCACCAACCAACACTGTCCAACTGCCCTAGGACCACGGTTCAGACTTTCCTGAAACTTCAGACCTTTCACCTTCATAGTTATCAAGGCGTCGCCTAGGCGTCGCCTAGGCGACGCTTAGGCGTCTGGGCGAGGCTATGTGGACGCCTAGCTTTTTTCTCCCTGGGCGACTTAGTGACTATCTTGGAGACGCATCTACGTTTTAGAAGCGCAAGGGAACGCGCGGGATAGAGAGAGAAGACGGAGGAGAAGATAGAATGAAGACTTATCTTTCTCGCAGATCATTTGTCGCGGTCTGCAGAGGCTTCCAGCGGCTCCAGTCTCTGCAGCGGCTCCCTGTGTCTTTCTAACTCTCTATCATCTATCATTTAGACTAGTGGACTAGGTCAAATAACTGGGCTAGGTTCATTAAAAGACTATTGGACCTTTACACCAGAGTAAAAGGCCCAAAATTTAATAGGCCTTTTAAAAGCTCCCTTTATTGGAGTAGGCTTATATATATATATATATATATATATATGTATAGTATAATATATATATATATATATATATATATGTATAGTAAAATATATATATATATATATATATATATATATAATACTCAATTTCATAAAGGTGGTATTACTGTTCATTTTAATTAATTATATCATATTATATGCTTTAACATTAGTACCTATAAAATTTTTATGGTCGCCATAACCCACTCGCCCAGCGGACGCCTAGTCGGGCGCCTAATCGCCTAGGCGATTGGAAGGTACTCTAGCGCCCAGCCTCGCCTAGCCGCCGTAACAACTATGTTCACCTTCGCCCTCGTGAACTTCCACCCCAACTGGCATGAGCCCAACTTCATCCTCAATCTTGATCTCACCATAGCAGGATTCCAATTTTTCAATAGCTACACCAGAGGCTCTTGAACCCATTATAGTTAAGAGACTGGCCTGAAATTCCCACCATTCACGGTCACCGACCGAAACCAAATTCAGAAGAGCTGGAACAGGTAAAGAAACCTCAAACGGTATTAGGGAGAGAATTGCATAGAAATTTATGTATATTTTGTTTGCAGTAATGCTGTAACGCCTTAGTACTATCATCAGATGGTACTAAAAAGTCTAACTTTGAGTAATTTGCATTAATTGAGTTTGATGGACACTGTTCATCTGGTGAATTTCGATTATTAAGCAAATTGTCCCTTGTAGATTGGTTCTTTTAATTTAATTTGACCTATTTTCTTCGGTTACTGGCTTACTGCTCCTTGTGAAGAAGCAAAGTGAAATGTGCCATAGCTATTATGCTAAGGATCTCAATTTTTTTTGGGTATAATTGCAGTGTGTATCCATTGTAGGAGACAGAGATAGTAGATTGTGCCAGGACGAGAAGAGAGAGCTGGAAGAGCATTGTGGTATGGGATTTAAATTTTTTGTGTTGCAATTTACTCCATTTTCTATTTTTGCTTGATTTGATATACATATGGTAAGTAAGGTTGCTACTTGCTAGGAGTGGTTGCTCTTGTATTTGAAAATGCATGCAATTAAAAGTCATTAAATCTGAGGGGAAAAAATCGTTTCCTCTAATATAATTAGTTGTTTTGTTGATGAGATGCATTCTTTCGTACGTTCCCCTTTTGTTGCTACCATTTTGGCGATGAAAAGGTATATGCTTATTTGTTTCCAGTGTTAATTTTGGTTGTGCGTTTTTCTGACAGATGAGTTTAGGTCTTCTTGGAATGATTGGTGGGCAAAAGAGAAGAAAAGAAAGTGCGATATAATGTTATTAGGTTTTGGATGGGTAAGGTTATTCTGACTTAATTTAGATAAACTTGATTAATTATACTTGGCACAGTAGAGGATTTATTTAAGAAAGCTGGAAACCCAACCAAGATCATTTTTCTTAGAGTAAATTCTATAATTGGTCCTTTATAACAGGGGGTTTCCCTATTTAGTCCTCTATTATCAAATATTACTCCCGTAGTCCTTATTTTAAGGGTACCTTTCCACAAATGGTCCTTTTTTTGATCTTCTGCTGTGTTGGTGTTAATTTCAGGGCTAAAAGTGTAATTTCACAATGATAATATATCTTTTTTGTCATACACAATTCCAAAGACTGTTTCATTTGCGTCGTTTGTGAATTACAGTTGCTTTTTACGACAACTGTAGTATATAAATGTGATTTTTCGTCAGAATCCTAGCCCACAATCATAGTCATTATTTTTGTGTTATCCGCTTAACCGATATCAGAACACGTCACTAGACATAATGTTGACGTCAAATTATACTTTTAGCCTTTAAATTAACACCAACACGGCAGAAGATCAAAAAAAGACCATTTGTGGAAAGGTACCCTTAAAATAAGGATTACGGGAGTAATATTTGATAATAGAGGACTAAATATGGAAACCCCCCTGTTATAAAGGACCAATTATGGAATTTACTCTTTTTCTTAAGCAAACTTTCTTTTGTAAAAATTTGCAGTGTTTGGATAGGCACGGCAAGGAGTCAAAGCAATGCCAATTTGAAGCTGAGGAGCTTAAAAAGTTCTGTGATATAGAAGTTTAATGACAAGCTGTTTTCAACATACTTTATTGATGATGATCCTAATTAGTTTAATGACAAGCTGTTTTCAACATACTTTATTTCAGTAAATTTACATTATAACTAAATACTCTCTCCGTCCTAATTTAAATCGCTTGTTTTGACTTTTAGGCATATTTAAAGAAAATAAAAAATAGAGTTGATTTTTCAAAATTAACATTACTTTTTAAGAGGGGTAATGATGAATGAGAAGATAAGATGAAAAAGAATAACTTATTTTAAGGGTAGTTTAGGTATTTTACTTTTAATAGTTTACGAAAACAACTAACAGACAATTTATTTTGGGACGGAGAAAAAAGGCAAACAGTCAATTTAAAATGGGATGGAGGGAGTATATTTTTTTCATAACGCGTCGTCAAAAGTTGTCAGACTTTAACCAAAAATGTGAAACTATGATACTACCTCCGTCCCAGTGAATTGTCTAGTTTGACTTTTTCGAGTCAAACTGAACAAATTTTAAACTTCAATTACTCTCAATATATATTGCATATTAGCATAATGAAATACAGTTCTGAAAGTTCTAAATATGATAAATTCAATAAAGTCATTTTTATGTTAAAATACATTACAATTTTTATTTTGTTGAAGCTCAAAGTTTATCCATTTGATTCAAAAAAGTCAAATTGGATAAATACACTGGAACGGAGGGAGTAATATTTTAAGACTATCTATATACTCCCTCTGTTCCAAAATATAAGCAACATTACGCTAAACGAAGTAATTTTTTGAATTTTATCAATCCATTTTATTTAAAGAATGGTCTACAAATCAAAAATAAAATCTACATATTTAAGAACTACATCAAAAGTTTTACAAAGCAAGTGGTGACAAGAATATTTTATTTTATCAAATAATTAATGAAATGAAAAAATAAATAAAATTTCCCGTGATTTTTAAATAGTGGAGTATTGCTTATATTTTGAGACGGAAGGAGTATGTATAGTAGTGGCCAGTGGGCCTTTATTTCGGAATAATCTATCTATTATTTTCTCTATTCAAAATAGCATGATTTTTTTCTTGCACGAAATTTTAGTTGTTAATGGACCGGATATTACGCTGTTGATTAAGCCCACACACATTATTATGCAGTTATCTCCCACCTATATCTTTTTCTCGTTGCGCAAAACGAAAGAAAATTCTAAGTTTTTTCAATCTATTTTATTTAAATATTGGTATAGAAATAAAAAATAAAATATACATATTTAAAAACTACATTAAAAATTCAATAAAACAAGTGCTGATAAGAATATTTTATTTTATCATATATGCCATAAAAAGACACAAATCCTTTAATATAATATTTGAGAGTTGATAGCTTAGAATTTTGACACGTGGCAGTTTGAGAGTTCTATTTTTTTGACACATAAGCCTACACGTGTCTCCCCTCATCACCACTGGATTAATTTCAAGGAAACTTCCCAGATGCCTCCCTCCGGTCAAATTTTCTACGGAGTACTTCGCCAAAGGCAAGGACTTTTACACAGAAGGAAAGTATCAACTGAAATAATTGGCTAGAATCCCTAATTCAAAGGAAAGAATCGGATTGCATCCATCTCTGTACTTCTCCCGTTCTCTGTAACATGACACGGCCTTGAGGAAATTGCAGCGGCCAAATCCACGGACTCCACCGGCTTCACAGAAACATCATCGCTACTTACAACTGGTATGAATTCATTAAACTATTTTGCCTAACTACATGTGCTTGAAGAAGATTTTTTACGGATTCTTTGCCTTATTTCCAAACCTGGCCATATTCAATTTGCGAAGAAAGCAGTGAACCTTGATCTTCAATTTGCCCAAAATATTCTTCGCCCAAAGTTTTTTCTTCAGATTTGCCCAAAATCTTCTTCGCCCAAAATTTTTTGCGGATTCTTCGTGAAGAGAGCCGTGAACCCAGATTCGTGGCGGATTCTTAGCGCCTTTGAAGATCCAGGTTTTTTTCCAAAATACATGTGCGATTTTGAATTATTCCTCT